GAAATAAAGGGTTAAATGCACACTCTTAATATTGTTATATTCTGTTTGGGTTGTACAGTTGAATTCTGATCACAAATGAAGTGAGTTCTGTGGCCAGCACATAGGCCTAGTTATTTCTGTATTTTTGACTGCATTAAGTTAATTTCAGATAAAATTAGTTAGTGCTGTGCCAAACTGTAGCTGCTTGAAATTGCTGAAATATCAAAGTTGCAACATAATGGGGAATGGCTTACCGCACCTTATTCAGCAACATAATATTGAATGCCTATATATGTCTAGCTAGGACCCAGTCCCGTCGTTAATTTAAAACAAGCCTGGGACTAAACTAGGATGGAGAGAGAGGAGCTTATTTCAGCTTTAATTAGGGCCCAGTTCTCCTGCACATACACTTTACACTAATTTAATGGTAGATTGTTTGTCTGTAAAGGCTGCAGGACAATGCATAGAGATTCCGAGCTCTTTTAAGGGAATCTGGAACTCTGTCCCTTTTTTACTTCTGCAGTGTGTAGAGACTGCTGGAGAGCACTGTGCCGTTGGGACAGCATATGCTGTATTTAGGTTTTTTTGGTACATAAAGATATAATGGAGAATATGAATTTGTAGTATTCTGAAGCAGAGCATCTATAACTTACTGAAGTGCTGAATCCTATTGAGGAAATGCTTGATAAGTCTAGGCCCCCAAGCAGATTATCACTGCACGTTTGGTCTTGTGACTTACTCAGATCACTGGCTCACCAGTAGTTGTATTCATAGCTTACATCTTATCCTTCTTTTTAGCACCAAATTTGCTGCTTTTTCACACCGGTCTTGTTAGATCTTACTTTCAAAGGGACCTTAAAATCGTAGTTACATAGACAAGGTTCTAGGCAGTAATTTACTCTCTTTTAGTTAACCTTTGGTACAGCATTTTGAAGATGTGCAGTGCCCAGGAACTGTTCATGTTGTAAGTTGGTTGTCCCACAGAGCAATGCATGAAACAGGTCATCAGATACCTTCTCAACAAGGACAAATGCAAAGTACTCCACTTAGGAAGGAACAATCAGTTGCACACATACAAAATAGGAAATGACTGCCTACGAAAGAGGACTGCGGAAAGGGATTGGGGGGGTATTAGTGGACCACAAGCAAGTCAACAGTGTAACATTGTTGCAAAAAAAGTGAATATCATTCTGGGATGTATTAGCAGGAGTGTTGTAAGCAAGACACAAGTAATTCTTCTACTCCACTCCGCGCTGACTAAGCCTCAACTGGAGTATTGTGTCCAGTTATGGGCACAACATTTCAGGAAAGATGTGGACAAATTGGAGAAAGTCCAGAGCAACAAAAATGATTAAAAGTCTAGAAAACATGACCTATGAGGGAAGATTGAAAAAAATTGGGTTTGTTTAGTCTGGAAAAGAGAAGACTGAGAGGGGACATAACAGTTTTCAAGTACATAAAATGTTGTTATAAGGAGGAGGGAGAAAAATTGTTCTTAACCTCTGAGGATAGGACAAGAAGCAATGGGCTTAAATTGCAGCAAGGGAGGTTTAAGTTGGACATTAGGAAAAACCTTTTAACTGCCAGGGTGGTTATGCACTGGAATAAATTGCCTAGGAAGGTTGTGGAATCTCCATCACTGAAGATTTTTAAGAGCAGGTTAGACAAACACTTGTCAGGGATGGTCTATATAATACTTAGTCCTGCTATGAGTGCAGGGGGCTGGACTAGATGACCTCTTGAGGTCTGTTCCAGTCCTATGATTCTCAGCCCATCTGAGAGAAGTGTGTGTTTTGTTTGTTTGTTTTCCCCCCTTCACTCGGGCCAATGAGTTGTAATTGGAGTAATTTCACTTTCACATTTTTTTCATAGATTTTAATAAGAGACCATTCCATCATCTAGCCTGACCTGTATAACACAGGCCAAAAGAATGTCACCCAATTAGTCATCTGTTGTGCCCAATAACTTGTTTGACTAAAGCATATCTTGCAGAAAGGCATCCAGTCTTGACTGGAAGCCATGAAGAGATGGAAAATCCACCACTTCCCTTGTAAGTTTATTCCAATGAATGACCACTGTCACTTAATATCTTCTTTTTTTTTTTTTTTTTTTATTTTTAAAAACACCTTATTTCTAACTCCAGCTTCTGTGGTTTTAACTTCCGTTGGTTCTTGCTATGCCTTAAAAAGTACCCAGTATTTTTTCCCTGAGAAGGTACTCGCACCCTCTAATCAAGTCCTTTCTCAATCTTTTTGTGCACTTGTTTGTGAGCTTTACAACATACTCGGTCAGAAACAGCTCATCACAGCCACTTTGGTGTCTTTATTTTCCAGGATCGGATGTGGACTTGACCGTCTGGAATGGGATAAGGTTTCAGCGCTACTTGAGGAAGTGTTTGAGGACACGGACATTAAGATCACCGTTTATGCTCTCTGAACAAAGAGGCCTTATGGAGATGATTGTTGATTTCCCTTGCTGTAGAGTCAGGTGGCTTGGGAATTGATTTAGAGAAAAAGCTGTGTGTGAAGCAGAGCCCATCTCCTCTTTGAGGAATAATTTACCATTAGGTTTTTCCCAATGGCAGGCAGTTGCTTCAAGAGAACCGGCTGGTTTGGAATGTGTTGATCAGAGTTCCAGAATGAAGTATCTAGTATAAACCTTCAGGGTTATATATATCCCTCAGGGATCCTTGCCTGTGAGTCACATAGCCAACCACCAGATGTCACTGTTCCTCCACCCTTCAGAATACCCATCTGCTTGTAAAGAAATCTTTTCTTACCGTGGTGGTTTGTGTGTGGAAGTTTTGAGCTAGTTTGGCACTTTTTAAAATATTCCAAATCTTTGAATTTAAGAGTTATATGTATCTGTTTATTGTGTTGTTTCAGATAATGAAGTGAATAATTGTGGAGATCTGCTATTTAATTTAAAACAGTACAGTGTTCAGCTCAGATGTGCAGATTTCCTTTGTTCTTTTAGTTATTAAAAATTAAAGTATTATCTTTTCAAAACATAAGTGAGGTTTCCTGCTTTTATCAGGAGTGTCTCTCTTAAGCATCATGCTATAAAGTCTCAAGTACATACCTTTTTAACTCTTGCTATTGAACCAGAGTGCAACCCCTGTGTAAACCCAACTATGTTCACATTTCTCTCTGCCTTCTATATGAAGGCTGAACCTCTCAAGGGAACATAAGTGTATGGGGCAAAGATTCCTAGGAGGTTCATTTTCCCCCACATAGTTGGTACAAGTATCAGCATGCAAGTGTTCTGAGAGACCACATATGAATGGGCTAGTATGATATAAAGTGGGCTTAGCATTAAATGCATGTATAGGTTTTCATCTTTACTTTTCATCTAAGGTATTTATAGACTGCTAGTCATTGTGGGGTCTAAGTGTCATTCTGTTTCTACATCTGGCATTGCTAAACAGCAATGAACAAATCATTAATAAATAGCATATTGAATCTAGCAGGCCAGCAAAAGGTAGTCCATTACTTTGTGGTGGTCAGTAAACTTCAGATGGAACATTGTTGTTTTTTTTTCTTCCCCCTTCACATCCTTACAATAACTTACCAGGTCTCTTTCTGCAGCATTTGGTTCAAAGGTGATAATTCTGCTGATTTTAGAACCTTGTGCTGAAGTGCTCTACCATATACTCTTGTAGTATGTTTTGCTTCCGATCTTGTCCACAGTGACTAATCTGATTTATTTTTAGGATGCCCATTACTATAGTAACTGAGTGCCGGAGTATAGGAATTCTAGCATAAAGTAGAATCCCTAATATCTTCTTTTTATCCATGTAATATATGTAAACCCTTCTCTATTCAGAAGCTACTAACTGCTTGTGTTGTGTGGGATCTTTTGCATAATTGATGGAGCTCTGCAAATCCCCTTCTCTAATCTTTGAAGGCCTCATGTTGTTACTCTCCTCCTTTTCAGTTGAAAATGATTGAATCTTTGCAGATCATGAATATCACTCTTTAATTTGTTAGAGGGGTCGCAACTGGGTGATTCTGTCCTTCCACTCTTGTGTGTATTTGTAACACCTTAAAAACGCAAAGCCCACATGATTTGTTGACTGCCCTTTTGTCCCTTGTAAAGTTGTTTTTGGTGTATAATTGCTGTAGCCAAACAAGGAAATAACTTTTTAAAGGATTGAGTTCGACAAATAGAAGCTTGGAATATTGGATCTGTAAACAAGCATAAATATGTACCAAAAATATGTGCATGGATTTAGGTTTTTGTATCTTATTTATATTTGTTGTCTAAATCTGGTAACAAACACAAACAGTAAATCAATAGCAACTATTTTTGTCTGCTCTGAACGTTGATGGTTTCTTATCACTATTCATGGCCTTTGTATTGAAGGCTTTGGCTAGGGTTTGGTGCCAGTGGGACACTGACATGTAAAACTGTTGGCCATACTTGTATTTTCCTCCTCTCTTACCTTCCTATGGTCTGCTGTTCCTTTTGATATTGCTTGGTGCTGTTGATACAGAAACAACAGTGAGTCAGAAATTTAGCTGGAAGTGTGAACCCCATGTGATTTCAGCATCTTGGCTGACCAGCTTCCCTGTGGACTTTCCACCCATTCTGTGTAGGCTTTATCTGAGACGTCACATGCCCAGATTTTTCTCTGTTCATCTCACACTCATGCTGGTTCTTGAAATTTCTTTGTACCTGGGAATTCCCCCTTCCTGTTGCACTGTACTATCTCAAGTGTGAAACATTTCATGGATGGGTTGTAAGGCCATGGTTCTTCCCTGTCAGATTAAATGTAGTAGCCCCTGTGTGGAGAAAGAGATGGGGGCAGAATCACGGCTGCTGTGAGTTTCTGCAGTGGCTACCAATTTATTTAACTCCTTTGCCCTTCCCAGTTTTATAGCATGAGCATCTCATAGGCCAAAGGGAGAAGACAAATACTTGAGGCATTCAGAATGTCACCAGAAGGCTCCAGCATATTGCCTGTAACTGTCTAGAACTGTTAGCCCAGCCCCCACATTGATCTCTGGATTATCTGTACATGGTGGAAAATGAATAATTTTATTTTCTATATATCTGTGTTTTTTGTCTTTTGAAAAAGGTCCTCAGCATTTATAAGACATACACTTAATCAATTCATTTATCGAATTTGCAGCCTTGATCTAAGGTGAGGTGTTTTTTTTACTCTAAAGCTGCCCCAATATGTGGGGCCTGCTCTCTCTCCTCTCGATCCACTGAAGTCCATTGCATTCATGTCGTTAAGCACAGCACACAGCCTTCTCCTGTCCTGTTAACAAAGACAGTACAAGTTTATTTTAAAAATTAAACAAAATGTCTAAATGCTACATGGTAAATGTAGTCTGAGTCCATCAGGGCCATGTCTGCTAAAGGTTTTTGTTGCATCCTGCCTGACTCAAAGCAGCTCTGAAAAGCTGAAGCCGTAACACAGATGTCCAAGTCTGTCATGCCTGTCTCTCCGCTGGTTGACAGATCTCTTACAAGCTGGCCCTGGAGAGATGAGAGAGAGAGACATGTTACCAGCTTCCGATGTTTCCGGGCTTTGTTGCTCAAAATTAGTTATGGACTCCTCAATCTTTGTGTATGGCAGAAGGGAAGATATACTATAATATACCTCCTTTGATATTTTTCTAGGGGACTAGAACCACTACGGCCTTTTCTTTCCAGTTCCATTAGATGTGCAAACATCATCCACCTAGATAAGAATGGAACGTTCTTGCTATATCTAATGACACTCCCCTTTGTTTCCTAATGAAAAGGTGATTTGGGGCGGAGGGGTGACATTCCTAGAGGTACTGACAAGTCCCTGCGAGAAAGAGAGCTCAGTATGCCTCTACATGCCCTATAGTGGGGAAGATCACACTAATGGATTGCTAGCTGCAGTGGGTAAGGTACTACTAAGGCGAAGTTCACGATGCTCATGTACTGTCAGACCTAGGCAGAGCTGGAGTCACAGATGGCAGTGACAGTACCCTTAAAAGCCTCTATTTCTGGCTTAAGACATACAGAAACAGAGATAAGTCTGTCCACCATTAAAGCAAGAAGCTAAATGAGCAAACTGAAATCCTCACTGGCATGCGCCTCAGTGCAAAACCTCTGATAACTTCTCTTCGTAATACAGGAAGTTCTCTTGAATGTCCTCCCAGGGCTCGAAGGCCTTTGCCTCTCCTTCTTCCTGCTCTGCAAAGTTCTGCCAGATATACTCAAAGTCTTGAGGCTTCATAATCTTCAGTTTGCATCCAGATGCCTTCAGTTTCTTCAGGGCGGCCTGCATCTCCGGCTCCTCCCACATGAAGAGGCGGCTTACCAGGATGGAGAGGCGCAGGTTCTTGTTCTTCTGCAGTATCTGTGCTATCCGGTCAGCACAGGGCACACAGGGGCTGGAGGAGACATACCAGGTGACGTTGTAGCGTAGGTTGGGATCGCATGTGGGCAAGATGTTATTGAAGAAAGCATCTTCAGCATGGACTGCTGCATGCTCATCCTCCAGGTAACCCCGAAAGCTCCCCGACTCTTTGCCTTGGGTCTCCACAACATAACATAGGAAGGTCTTGTTCCTGCCTGAGCTGTATTCCACATTTCTGAACTGGAATTTGAAAAAGAAGGCTGGGAAGCGCTCCCTATGGAGAGGGGAAGAGCAAGAGAAATGCCTTAGTGTTATAATGTATCCTATAATAACACATAGCCTTTCAACAGCAGCTCTCAACCAGAGATCTTTACAAATGTTAGTCAAGCCTCACACCCTCCCTGCCACCCTGAGAGTGGAAATATAAGTACCATATTTTACTGATGGGGAAAACAAGTCAAAGACCTTATGACTTGCGCAAGGCTCCCAACCAGTCAGTAGCAGAAATGGAATGGAGAATTAGGGCACTGGACAGGAACTCAGAAGGCCTGGGTTCAGTTCCTCAGCTCAGCCACAGACTTCCTGTGTGATCTTGGGCAACTCACTTAATCTACCACGTGCCTTGGTTCTTCACCTGCAAACTAGGGACTATACCTCCTACCTCCCTGGGTGCTGTAAAGATTAAAAATTAATTGTTGTGAGGTGCTCAGATAGTTTAGTCATTAAGGCCATGTAATTACATAGATAGGAATAGAAGCTTGGAGTTCTGGCTCCCAACCCCATATTGTCTCTGCCTGGCTTCTTTGGGTTATGTTGGTTGCATCTATCCACACTGCAAATATCGGTATATTCGCTATTAGAGTATTTCAAGACTGCTCGGCACAAGGAGTGACTTTCTTTAAGCTACTTCGGCGTGTTATTTGAATATGTCTATTTTTTACTGCTGCAGGAAGCAGGAAAATGACTTCCCTGGACACAGGTCTGCTAGAGCACTTCAGATCTGAGCTGCACACCTCCCATTCCAATGGGAAGCCCCTCCACAGCTCTGCTAGTGCCCTTTAATGGTAGTCTACAGTACCCTTAGAGTCCAGAACTCTGGTCTATCAACTCTCCTCCATCTAGGTTGACGCTCTTCTGAACAGCGGCAGATGACTGGCTAGTACTAGCATATAAATGGCAAGCTTCTGCACACACAGATACAAGCGTACTTCAGTCCTGGCGGTTAGCCTGCTGTTCTAGTTCTGGTCCTCTAACATCAAATGTGTTGTGGTTTTGTTGAATGCGGATATAGGAGACTAAATCTAGCCCTGGTATAAATCGGTGCATCTCCCCCTGCAGTCATTGTGAACTGTTCCTCCCCTGGTTTCCAAATGAATCTAATCTCAGTGATTTGTCACCTCTGAGATGAATTTGCTTGTGGTCTTTTTCCAGATCGGGATGTTTAGGGGAGTTATATTTAGTTCCCTAAAACCCTGCAGCCCTGGTACCTCTGACACTTACCATTTAAGAGGGGAGGGATGATATTCAAGATGTGACTGTGACCTCCTGCTTGGGACCCCATTTTGCTAAGGGCTTACATACACCTAGTCAAATGACAGCCCAAACCCTGAATGTTTTATAATGTAACTTAAAGTTCTAGGGCTGCGGTTCAAATAGTGTGGTTCACATTTCCCAATGGTGCTGCTCCGCAGGGTTAGCAACAGTGTGAACTCTGCTATATACCGGCTGCAGGGGGTTAGGGCACTGTGTCCTCGAATCCTGCTCAGAGCCAGTCTGCACAACACAGTGGTTAAAATGGTGGTGGCTGCCAATGAGGTGTCTGTTGCAAGCGCTGGTGGTACTGCCTCAGTGTGAAGAAAAATAGTCAGGTAGACAAGGCCTCTCCATTTTGACTGAGGAGCAAACACTTCCTACTGTGTTGAAGATGCTTTGGTGACAGGGCAATCATAGAGTATTATAAATATAGTACTGCCGAATAGTACGAGGCCAAGCACAAGCTGGGAAATGTGTAGAACACACAGGGCTTTGATTCTAGTATTGAAAACTGGTGAATATATTTTCATTCAAAATATGAGTAAACAGGAAGAACACTTAAGTCCAGTGCCCCTTGGAGTCAATAGAAAGGCTCCCTCTGACTTCAGTAGACTTTGAATTAGGCCTTAATTGCCTATTTTCATGTGTAATCCAAAAGAAAGGGCCAAAAGGATCAAGGGCTTGTCTAGAAATTTGCACTGATGCAGTTATACCAGTTCAGATGTCTAATGTAGATACACTGCCCAAGTGCAAGTTCTGTTGTGCCCTGTTGCAATGTGTTTGCATTAGGAGTTATCACTAATACATATCATTGCAAATTTCCATAATCTAAGCAAGCCCTAACAGACCAAGCAAAGTGACCATCAACATTTCTCCTCTTGGCAATACTTTCCCTTTCTTTCCCCCTAAGAAGATTTAAAGGTACCTTTATAAGTGAATTACAAAACTCCCACTGACTTCATTAGGAGCAGGATCAGACCATTGTGCTTCCCTCGCATGGACTGGGTGAAAGTCCTACTCTCTCATTCCTTGAGTCTAAGAAATTGACATTTGTTTGGTAACAGCCAACTTCATGACTTTACCTCTGAGATAATTAGTCACTCCTTTTAAAAATCAAAAGGTTCCACCCAGCACAAGCTATCCTCCCCTTGTTTCAAAGGCAGGTTTGCAAAGCCACAAGGAATTATTACATTTTTAAATAAGTATATAACAGATATAATAGTCACCTACACATTCATCCCTGATGTAATTCTGCTGACTTCAGTGGAGTTACAGGAGGGGTGAATTATCTCTTTATCTTTTAATGAGTCATTTAATCTGTGAGGGACAGATCCAAAAGCTCTTAAAGTCAATGCAAAGACTCCTATTGACTTCAGAGTGCATTAAATCAGGGCCTCCAACCAGACCTTACATAAAATCTCTTCCCTCTCACGTACTAGGCTGGCTGGGATTACCTGGGATGTTAAAGCAAATCTGTTTTCCTGGCAATGTGGAATATACACTAGATCACTTTATTTCCAGTAAAGAAGCCTGTAAACAAACCTAAAGAGACTATCCAAGATTGTTCATGGTTGGCTGAGATCTCAGAAACCCTTGCTCATCATGGTTGCGGAGAGTACTAATTAATGAAAAGGGATTGGTTTAAGCCCATCTCGGTCAGAGCGGTGTGGATATTCCAGCACAAGTATGTCAGTTAAACATCTGCAGTGGGAGAACTTAAGTGCTTGTCACCGGACTTGCAGTCCCTGTTCTCAGCAATCAAAAACTGTACCAGGTGTCTCTGACCCCCTATGGCTGTGATATCTATTAGCAAGTGATTCAGCAGGAAAAGAAAAAACCACATGTACCAAAAGATTGCACACGCTTTGGACCTGTGCCTGTGCGTGGTCTGACCTTTGAGCATTTCAGACACTCATAATAATAAGTAATTATGATACTTTGCACTTCTATAGCATCATTCATCTGAGGAGGTTACAGCACTTTACAAACAATTTGTTAAGCCTCACAATTCATCTCTGAAGTAGCTAAGTAAAGGGGCCTAATGGTAAAGAAGTGGCTGGTTCTCAGGAGACCTGGGTTCTAGTTCTAGCCATGATACTAAGTTGCTGTGTGACAATGAACAAGTTATTAAACCTCTCTAGGCATCAGTTTCCCTGTGTGTAAAATGAGGATGATCCTATGTATCCATTTTTGAATGAAACATGTTGTATAAATGTTGTTATGCCCATTTTACAGATGGGGAAAGTGAAGGGCTCTTGCTTCAAGGTCACATAGAATGTCAGTGGCCGAACCAACCACTAGAACCTAGGAGCTATGGTCTCTGGTTATGTAGGGCCTACACAAAAGCAATGTTTCATGCTCCCTTCACTGGCTCTGTAGCAGCCATTCAGTAACAAACAACTGTGTGGGACTCATTGATGACAACGGTGCAAGGACTCTCAGATACTGCTCTGTCATGACTGGAGCCTACCACAACCAAGGAAAAGGGGAAGAATTTGCCACTGCATTTCTGTGCTATAGGGATTCTCATTTTCTCCCCAGAGGAATGTAGTGTAAATTAATAGATCAATTTGAATCCCATGAAGTTTACACAGCTGGGCTGAATCTGGCTGTAGCATTGAGAAAAGGGTTTTAATGTTCTTAAGTGTAAAGACCAAATCAGGTTGCCAGCCCCATTTGCAAAGCACAGACTTCTTGGGGCTGCGGGCAGCAGCATCAAACACTTGGCAAGGATCATAAAATGTCCCTAATCCAAGGTCGACAATTGAAATGCTTGAACTTTACACAGTGTAATTGAGCACACGCGTTGGGGCATTTGGAGTTGTAAATTCTCTCATTAGCCGAATAACTGGCGCTCTCTGCTGAAATTTTATAAATAACTAGAAAATTCAAACTGGGATCACATCCAACAAAGACACAGAGAAAGAGATTCCCATCAGCAGTCCCAGGACTTCCAAATACAATATCTTAATATGGGCACTGCTTAAACATTAGGGTAAATTTGCTGGATTTTTCAGTTTCTTCTTGAGCATCCTCTGTGATCTCCCTGTTTTCTTTCTTTGCTTTCCCACATCTCACCCTTAGGAGCCCAGCACATCAATAATAATCCCAGGTAGACATATCTTCTGCTGGACCTCGTCGGACAGCAAAAGGCAGATCTTTGGGACCAATCCTCAAATAGTACAGTGATTAGTAAGGTATAAATACCTTGAGTTTTATGGTCTTAGCTCAGTTCCTAGTGGATGCCCAGTTCCCCGTCCACATCATAAAAGCCACTATAACAGCTGGCACCAATTGTTCCATTTGTTGTCAGTCTCAGTACAGAGGCCAAGGAGTGAAAGACCTTTGGTCTCATGATCTCACCCTGAGAGCTGGTCTCCAGAACAGAGATGAGACCCACTGGTGGAGGCGTGTTGGGGAAACTTTCACCATTCTTGTCCAAAGTTTACCCCTCCTGGGGATAGTAATGGACAGAGGATAGTCCCCAAGAAGGGCAATCCAGCTAGGGTTGCCAACCCTGCAGGATTGGCCTGGAGTCTCCCGGAATCCTCATCCATCTCCCGGTGACTATTGAAAGCAATCCAGGAGATTTTAGTAGGATATTTTAAGAAAATGACATTATATCATGTTGGGGGGGGAGGGGGAGGGAATCTCCCGGAATAGCTTCAGTCAGAGTTGGTAAACCTAAATCCAGCACCTCTGACTGGGCCTCTGTAACAGCCATGCAACATCACAGAAATAAAAAAGTGTTGTTGAAGCCACAGGGCCAGATTCTGCCTTGCCACACACCTTGCACAATAAGTTCACCAGTGCAAAATGGGTGTAAATCAGAATGGTAGCATTGTACGCCCACTCAGCATTCACTTTGTGCAGGTGAATACCATGACACTGGGTAGGATTTTCAGAAACACTCCGCATTGGCCCAACTCTGCTTTCATTGAAGACAATGGTATTGACTTGAAAATCCTACCAAGGGCAAGACAGTGGAGAATCGGGTCCCAAATGTGGCTCGCTATTTTTAAACCACCAAAAATGACAAAAGACTTTTAAAAGAGATTGTGAGAACAGAAAACAAAATTATTCTCAGGTGAAATCCAGAGAGAAAAACAAGTATTAGAATTTGGGGACGGAACAATTTAATGTAATTATTTTTATCAGAATATCCATTATAGGCAGCAAAGTGACAAGTCAAAATGGCATCTTGTTACTCAACGTGTTTGCTCGCTGTGTGTCTTTGAATCACATCTGCTGATTTTTTGGACCAAAAGCTTTCACTCACTTTAGCCCTATGTGGAGGCAATACAGCTAGGGGGGAGAGAGCTGGAGTATATCCTGCCTTATGCATCATCATCAGAATTGCCAGCTGAGTTCTGACTGTAGAATCTTTCTTATTAGTGATGATGTAACAGGCAGAAAGGCCACAGCTGGATTTTCAGTTCCTGGATTGAAGTCTGTGTTAAAGGCTGCTGGAAAATAATCACATTTTAGTTTATTAATTGAGCACGTAGACTTGGCGACCTTGGGAGACAATAAATACAGAGCTTGACCATAACATTTTTATAATGGCATGTTTCTGGTTAAGCCACACTTTAAATTATGTATGGTTACATCTAGATAGTACAGTGACTGGCATATTAGAAATGCTTAGGGATGGTAGATTAGACAGACAGATTTTCCTAGCCACGCCTTTCCCTCATATATTATTAATGTATAATCATTTGTCCATTGATTAATCATCATTCCATGCTTGTATTAGCTGTATGGTTTATTGGATTGGGATCTTATAAGGAGCCTCTTGTAGGCTGTGCTTTTCAGAAGGGCTCAACACTCAGAACGTGAGCCAGATTTCCCATAGAGCTCATCACCCATTTAGACTCCTAAATAAGTGGCCAGATTTCTAAAAGACCCCCACGTCCAACATGCTGAGCTGTTTGGAAAATCTGGCCCTCAGTGTCCCAGTGGGCGCTGCTGAGTCAGTGCTTTAATTTGTGCCAGGCTGGGCAGTTCATAATCATGCCACCTCTGGCCTTGCTGCATCAGTTATGAATGTAAAAAAATGGCTTGAGTCCCGGCACCTCTTTCATTACAAATTAAGCACTGTGCTGAGTACTTTTGAAAACTGACTGATGATCTGGTAGCTAAATGTGGGCTGGGCTCTTTTGACAGTCTGGCCCCAGGGGTGGGTGCTGAGCCCTAGAAAATCTGACCCCTGAGCTCATTTGAAAATCTAGCCCGTATGATCCATAACGCGGGCACAACACAGCAGTGAGTATTTTTCAGGGCTGATTCTAGGGTCCCATTATTGGGGGAACAAGTGGGTATTCTGGGTCCCTATTTAAAAAACAAACAACCTTCTAGGAGTCATGGGGCTTGGTGGATTTTAAGAGTTTAAAAAGTAAAATTTGGCTGCCGGGCCAGTATTTTGCTGTGATTTATAATTTATATAAAGGATGAAGGCTCTCCAATCTGTGGCTGTTCCACTGCTTAACACTGGATAACTTTGTGCATATTTTGGCCTTTCTGACAATAATGTGGAGCCCTTGAAGATTGTTTGGGGAGGGTGGGTGTTGGGGAAGCTCTCACCACTGTTGTCCAGAATCTACCACTCCTGTGGATACTAATGGACAGAGGATAGTCCCCAAGAAGGGCAATCCAGCACCTCTGACTGGGCCTCCGTAACAACCGTGCTACTCTGCTAAAGTAATAGTCTCCTTTGCTTGCCCTTCTCTACCCACACCATTAGCACTGGGGCTGGTATTTTTCCTAACCCAGCAACAGAGGAACTTGCAAACAAGACCCCTTCAAGAAATCAATATTTCAGTATTCTTCAAGGGCCCAATTCTTCCACCCTTACACCAAGTAGTACCTTACTTGACGAGTGATCCCTCTGAAACCAGTGGGACTACTTGCATGTTAAGTGACTTGTCAGCATTGGCAAGAGAGAATTGGTAGAATCAGGCCCATAAATGGATCCAGTGAGTTACAAGCTGATTTGAATCCATCCTACACCTAGGCAGTGAAACTCTCTTCACCAGGCAACTTCACCCTAGCTACAAGTTCAGCTGTAGGAAGAATTGCAACCTGCACAATATAAACAAAGTTCAAAAAATCCCTTTCCAGACTTGCACTGGCCCCAGGTTTCATCCTTATTTAACCAACATTAAAACTTCAGGCAGAGACCTCACCCTGGACAGACTGTGTGAGGAGCCAAGTGGAAATGAGTCATCCTGGCTTTCTTTACTCACTGCCTCTTTAAAACTAAACTCTGTGCACGGATCTCTCTTACCCTCCCACGATTTCAAAGGGCGGCAGTTTCTCCAGTTCCTTCTTCTTCTCCCCAGACTCCTCTGCATTTTCAGGCTGCTCCTCACCAGTCTGGGTGTCGCTGGGCTCCTGGTTTTCAGCCATCCTCTTGGGTGCTGGTGCACCGGGTTCAGACCACGAGGAAAGAGAGGGAGCAATTTTTTGAGACCGGTGCAGGGAGCAGAGACGGGAAAGAGAGAGAAAAAAGGGAGTTGGGAGTTCCAGTCCTAGACGCAGTTGTCGGGAGCTAAATATGGAACAACGCTGCAGTGACACTGACTGGACGGGGTGGTAGAATGATCCGACAACTCTCAGATATCATCACCCTCCCTCGGTTTTGCGAAGGCCTTTTATCAATCTCTCTCACTCCCCTTTTGCCTTTAAAACAAAGTGAGGAATTCACTGTGGGCGGGTTAGGGCATGGATGGAAAACCCAGGAAGCAGAAGTCACCTATTTATCCACAGGCAGGACAGAAACCTGGCAGGCTGCAGGATTGGCCACTTCCCCATCTGCCCTGATTTGCCCACATTCTATCATCCTGCCCTTGAGAAAACACGCTTCTAGAGTGGGCAGGAAGGAGCAGGAAGTGTCCCCGATTTGTTTTATTTAACGATCACCCTGGATAATGGATGGGGCTGAGCCATGCTTCAATGAGGCCCCCTGCAGACATTACAGCTGGAGCCCTCACAAGAACCTGAAAATTACACCCTTTGCAAACCATCCTTCTGTGAAGCGGGCACTGAAAGACGGGGATCCAACAGGAGCGAAATCCTAGTCCCATCAAAGCCAACGGCACAATCCCCACTGATGTCAAAGGGTCCAGAATTTCACCCCAGCTGTATTAAAATCAGCCGTGTACAGTTACACAGCAAGGAAGTATTTGGGGTGTGGGACTGTACCAGATTACACCAGCTCAGGGATCTGGTCCTTGTTCCCTACATTTCTCTCTCCTTAGACTGTAAACTACTTGGGGCAGGGACCATTCCTTCTTGGATGCGTGGAAATCACACTGCAAACAAATGATAAATAATAATTAAAAGATTCCTGCTTCTCAGTTATTCCTTGGTTTGTTTACACCACCTTTGCGGTCGCCGTGGGTGCAAACACCAGATCAGTAATTGCATCGGGTGGAAGGCAGTCTAGAGACTGGAAGTGGGAGCCTATGGTGGGGTTGAGGATCAGGTTGGAGTTTGTGTGTGGGCCCAGGAGGTTGTACAGTACTAGGATCAGGAGTAAGCAGCAGTGGGATTGGGAAGTGGGGTCTAGGACTGACATGTGCAGTGTGTGGGAGGTAGAGTATGGGATTGTTCAAGAGAAGTTCTGAGGTGGTGTTTACTGTATTTTGCCTGAACCAAGTTAGCATGGAATCCAGCTATCCTAAAAAGACCATGTAGAATAGCATTAGGGGGTCTATAAAGTTTTTATTGATAAAAGTTTGGGATGTCTGTATTGCTCTGCAAAAGTGGGGAACCCAGGGCTTGTTTGGGTTTCTTATGACCTCTAGAAAGGTTTATTTTTTTTGTTGAGGATGGCGTGAAATGTATCCAAATTTCACAAAAACATCTCATTCTGAATTTAAAGGGAAAATTGATGCAAATCCCAGGTGCTTCTAACTTAATGGAGTTTCCTGCTGTGCCTCTAGGTTAAAAATAAATAAGAAGCATGTAGCTGCTCTGAATTCACATTTTACTCCTCCAAAGCCAATTGGAAATCAAACCTCCAGCATCTTGACTGCTGTGCTAAAGGTAGAACCCATGATGACTGAGATTCAGCCAACCAAGCTATTAAATATTAGCTCTGTATTCAAGGAGTAAGTACTGTAAATTTGGGGAGGATACATTAAATTCTTCATATATATCAAAGAGTCTGAATTTCTGTTTTCAGTGCAAAACTTAATTCAGCTTTAACTATGGTGTTGCATTCAGTGCCTCTATAATTTGATAGTGCCCCGCATCATGACGGATTTGGACCATTCACACTTGTTCAGTTGTACAGTTATTTTTTCTTATTGCACATTGTTCAGTTTTTGTCCCTTTACTAACAATGATCTTTCCTTTCTATAGCATCTCAAAGAATCCCAAGGGTCTTCCCAACTCCCCACATGCTGCTCCACTGAAATGCAGCTACTTCTGGGCCAGAGAACAGCAACCACCGTGCTGCACCAACACTGTTTGCTGAAACCTGGTGAGTAGTAGTTATTTATTTGATGTCTAACACTTCTGGGGTGGATTGTATTGTGACAACAGGACAGTAAGGGATTTGAGAAGTTCTGAGACAGTCTGTCCAAGGGATATATATAATTTTTCCTATGCTTTTAAAGCTTGGAATACTTTCCTTGGCTAGAGGGTAGAGTATTGTTTTTCCTCTTGACTGGTAACTATGTTCAAATTCCAGATCCCTTGTCCAGTCATTCTCACCTTTGACATTTTGGGGAGTGATTTTGGGGATGGGAATCCTCAGCTGATGAGTGACTGCTCTTTCCTTTTCTCCTCCCACCCTCCAAAAAAAAAAATCCCATCTTCTCTTGTATCCCCCGACCCACTGTCTCTATTTCTGGAAGCTCTCAACAGCTAGATTAATCATGGTGCCACTACTCTTGCAGCCGTTAGCTTTCACTGGCCCAGCCAAACTGCAAAGATCAATGCGAGCTCTCATCTAATCTCCGGAATGTGCTGCTGAGAGTCTGGTTCCATCCAGTCTTGCCCCAGCTGCTGCGCAGTTCCATCTAGGGCAGTGCCCTAAGTATTCACAACCCCCACCAGTCTGTGCTTGGGCCAAATATGTAAAGGAATGCCAGAGAGATGCTGTCAGTCTGACATTTGCATTAGAACTGTAGGGGGAAAAGCATCCATCGGTCTGGTCCAGGCTTTTTGACCAAAGGATAGCTCCCCAAAAGCATGTGTGTGTGTGTACGTGTGTATGGGTGTGTACGTGTGTATAGGTGTGTGCCTAGTGACTGCACATAGTAATGTCGTGCTCTGCACAGCAATTTATTTTTCCTTCAGCTAGTCAAGACAGGGAGACTTGGGCCTGGGTCCAGCAGAGGTGCCGGATGTGCAGTTATTGTCATGACAGTCTGGAGTAACAGGGAACACTGCAGGTCAAGGAGGAGGCACACAGGCAGAGCTGTGGGAAGTAGAGGCCAGGACAGGGAATGGTTGCTGGAAGAGGGGACACTAAGGTGACATCCAGTTCTGGATAGCAATTAGAGATTTGATCCTTTTAGCTTTTGTGGGTTTTGTCTCAGACTTTTAGAGCTTTACCATTAACTTCAATGGGAGCAGGATCAGTCCCTTAAATTCATCTGTGACAAACAAAATTCTTTGTCTTTTTTTCCGGTGTATTAATATCTTATGTGGGGGAAAATATAATAAAACACACCCAAACCCTTTGACTTTTCTCCCATTCAGATCCTTTGTCAGTAGCCTTCTAATCATGAACATTTATTTTCTGAGGTTAAAATGTGTGCACGTGGCTTTTATCCTGTGGTGAGCACACAGGGGGCATCAGCTACCAATGCTGAAGCCTCCATTCCAGAGGGATACTCGCAAAGGGCCAATTCACCTATCAGTGAGCAGAGGGTTATCCATTTGCATTAATAGGAGTCAGGTGCTAAGGGTTTTGCGTCATATTTGCAAGAAATGTGAGAGAGCAAAGGAGCCATATGTCAGATCAGACCTTTGGTCCATAACTCCAGTATCCTATCTCTGGCAGTGGCCAACATCTGATGTTTAAGCGGTAAACAGCTTCCCCCTCCACACACATAATGCAGCTGGCCAGTTGTGCAATGCCACGCAACTTCCTTCCTGACTTCAAGCCAGGGATCAGTTTATGCCCTGAAGCATGAGATTTAGTTGCTAGAATTTTAGTTGCATAATTACAAATCTATTTTTAATCTGATCATAACATTATCCAGCATTTTGAAGGGGGATTCAGGAGTCTAGGAATGGAGTAGAAGAGACCTAGCTGCAAAGAAGAATCTTGCTAGGGAGTTCATTGTATTCCTAGGCCAGAGAAACATTTTGGCCAGATCCAAGAGTGAAATAAGACACTGGCTGTATTAGTCATAGCTGGGACGTGCTCTTTATTCCAAGGTGACAGCTGATGGCAGTAACAAAACATCTCCCTGGATACATTGTTTGGCAGTGATCCTCCTCCTATTTTTCCAGCTGTAACTACCGTTACCCGATAAATAAATAACCCCCCCACCGACAGTGATGTGCAGAGCCAGCTTTCCTTCTCTCAGCCCCCTTGGCCCATCAGCTGCTGTTCCCTCCCCTCTGTGGGACCATGTCTCATACTGCAAAGATTTGCGAGGGGTCCTTGCCATAGATATAGTCGAAAGGTAGGGATAGGTAGAGAGATTGGGGGGAAAGAGGAGGAAGTGTTTCCCCCTATAAAACCTTTTAGCTTTGTGCAAGAAGCTGGTCCCAGTGCATTTCTTTGTCTCCACACCAGACAACTGGTGGTAATTGTCTCCCTGGTTGAGAGTCTCAGGAGAGAAGCCAAGATTTGAATCTAATCTTATCCATTGTCATTTTGATATTGTGCCTATCACCATGTTATCTAGGCATTATATAAAAACCTTAGATAGACAGATAGATAGATAGATTAGATTAGATTAGATAGATAGCACTGGTGTTGTCAATGCTGTACTTGTTGGACCATGTTCTGCTCTCAGGTAGGAAGATGCAACTCCCTGTAGTTTCAAAGAAGTTGCACCCATGTAGCTGAGAGCAGAATTTGATCCTTTCTACAGATGCACAGATAGAGTACTTCAATCTCCAGGGATGTCTATTCCATTGCAGGCTTGGAAGGATTATTTTTTTATTGGTTAACCCCAATTTCACTATACACACACAAACCAATGAAAAAATTGCCATCAATAATCATTGAAATTTACAGATCAACAGAGTAAGAAAAATGCTGCTTGAGATCTTATTAGTTTAAGGATATTTGTACGTTTTGACATGTGACGGTGACAATTTGTGTTTTAATGGCTATAAAGCTTTAACTTTCTGAATCTTGTATACAGCCATTAAATAATTATTGTCCGACCCCCCCCCATTTTCTGACTCCCCCAATAATTTCCCCCAACTGTGAAAATTGAAATTCATAAACATTTTAAAAATGCTTAAAACCCAGACATTTGTGCAGCTGTGAAAATGTAAATTGATAAAAATTGGAAAAAAAATGCTTTGAAATAAACATTGATATTATCCCATAAAAATTATAAAACAATAAAATAAATGTTCGGACAAGCCTATGTATAGGTTTTATATCGCAATCATCACTGTGTACATGAGCATCGTCCAGCAGGGCA